ATATCAGAGAAAGATGCCTTCAAGACAAGTATTATGTTAGCTACAGTGTGTTTTACCATGATAAAGTGGTCAATTTATCAGGAAGATTGGAAATAAAGATGTGCACATTATCTATTAACAGGGCTTCAAAAAGGAGGAACATAGCAATAAACTGAAAAAAGAAATTTAAAAAAAAAGTTACAGGGCTAGTGAGATGGCTCAGCAGATAACAGGGGTCTGCTACCAAGCCTAATGACCTGAGTTCAAGCCGCAAAATCCACTTGGTAGAAGGAGAGAACCAACTTCTCCAAGTTGTTCTCTGGCTTCCATATGTGTGACGTGGCACATGAACTCATGCACACACAAAAAGAGAAAAATAACAAGTGCTAATTTTAAGTGAGAGATTTTAACACACTCTTCCCTCAGTTTAGAGGGCAACTTACAATCAGAAACTACATAGTTTTGTGTCATGATGCCATGGATAGTTGACCATGACGATCTCCACTTTTGAACCATTCATCCTGCACTTGTTCAATGGAGTGCCAAGGAATGTCTATCTGTACAGCTCGTGCAGAAGGAGAGAAAGAAAAGGGATTCTTCAGCCATCATATAATGTGAGCATAACCCAAACACAAGCCCCGGTGTGTATACATGTTCCTGTTCATGCATACACGGGCATGTGTACGTGTCTGTAAAATGGTGAGTGCATGTGGAGGCCATAGGACAATCTAATTGTCCTTCCTTTGTTTTATTTATTTTCTTTTCTTTTGAGGCAAGTTCTCTCACCAGCCTGGATCTCATCAAGTGGGGAGGCTGGCAGGATAGTAAGTCCAGGGAATGCAGTGAATTATGGCTCACACATATGTCGCTACAGCTGGCTTTCTTAATGTACATTCTACAAATGAAACTCACAAGCATTTAACTGTTTGAGACTTCTTCACAGGTCACAGACATCTTTTGACAACGACATCACAGGTACAGAAAATTATGTGCCAATATCCCATATGATCACAGTAACAAAATATGTACTTAGATAATCATATGTTGTGCTCACATGAGACGTATCTTACAAACAAATGCACGATTACTTTAAGATACTAAAGCCAACTAATGTAATTCTGCAAATTAATACAAGCCAAGAGGGAAAAGAATAACTGTGGCAACACAAGGAGAAAAGATGCTAACAGAGATTAATATTGATTTCTGATGAAACCAACAGAAAAAAATTAGCACATTAGGGTACACTCTCCAATCAGACAGAGGAACAAGAATCTACTAGAACATTGCAGCTCATATCAACTAAGGCAACTAATTGGTGAAATTAGCAGATAAGTCTATAAAAGTCGGTTATAGTCTAGCAATGAATTAAAATTAAAACTGTTTAGAATATCACCCAAATGTACCCATCAATCCTTGGGAATAAATTTAATAACAGGCATTCCGAACTCTCACATTAAGCAATAAAATATTGTTCAGAGAACACAGGAAGAAACCAGTCATATGAATTCATTTCCCCCAAACTAGTCTGATTTAATGCAATCCAAACTAAAATCCAGATAGACATTATCCATCTTCATTGAGAAGTATACAAATATTTTTTTAAAAAAAATAGACATATGTATCTCAATTATAAGGAAATGTGATGGACTTGGAATAATCACAATAATTTTCAGACAAGGCAGGAAGGACAACTTACCTGACTTTATGACTTATTACGTGGCTATGTCCTTTTTTAAAAGACTCAAATCAGATATCACCAGAACCAAGTCCAGAAGCAGCAGCAGGTGCCATAGGACATATGAAAATCTTTCACAAGTGGAATGCTTGAGGACATGTATAAGGGGAAGATAAACTTCAGCTTTCATCTCTCACTGAGTGCATACATACATAAATTAACTGCAACTTTAACTGTAAAATATAAAATCAAACCCCATAAAATCTAGAGGATGGCTGGGCACTGTGAAGTACGTCTGTAATCCCAACACTCAGATGGATAAAGCAGAGAGACGGTGAGTTCAAGACCAACCTGGGCTACATAGCAAGACACTGCCTACAAAAACAACAGTGTAAACTGTTGTTTACTGAACAAAATGTAATCTTTGCTACACAATGAAAGAAAGAAAATTGGTGTTCCTGTATCATCAATATTTAAGCATTTTATATGTTCTATCCTCTAATCCTCTGTTGCATCAATTGGTGTGGGAAGTTCTTCTGTATATGTGTTGCTTTTATTGGTTAATGAATAAAGCTTTTTTGGCCAGTGGCTTAGCAGAATAGAGCAAGGTGGGAATTCCAAGCAGACCGATGTAGAGATAAAGTAGGCAAAGTCAATGAGACACCACGTAGCCACCAGAGGAGACACTATGTAGTGTTGTTCCACGTGTCTGTTTTGTGTTAATAGTATGCTGCGTTTATTACTATGGTTCTATTTATATGTCTATACACACACACACAAAATCAGGGTTGTTGTTGCCGCCTACAGTATTACTTTTGCTCAGGGTCGAATTGGCCATTCCTTGTCTTTTATACTTTGCATAAATTTTTGTATTTCTTTTATGTCTGTGAAGAATACGCATGAGAACTTGTGTTGTGATGCACTAACTCTGTAGACCATTCTGGAAGGATGGTCACAACAAAGTAACTCTTCTGACCCATGAGCATAGGGTGTCTCTCTACCATCCAGCATTTTCCTCAGTTTCCTTCTTTGATGTCTTAAAATTTTCATTGCAGAGTCTTTTGCTTCCTTGATTATGTTTGTTCTTAGGTATTTGTATTTATTTCTGTGTGTCGCTATTACGAACGGGACTGTTTCCATGATCTTGTTTTCTGTCTGTTTTGTCATTGGTGTATAGAAAAGCCACTGTTTCTGTATGTTGATTTGTATCCTACCACTTTTCCAAGTGTGCTCGTCAGCTCTGAGAGGTTCTTTGGACAGAGTCTGTAGAGTCTCACATTTAGAATCATATCATCTGAAAAATGATACTTTTAATTCTTTTACTATGTTTACTCTTTCTATTTCCTTCTCTTGTCTTCCTGTTCTAAGACTTCAAGCATTAAATTGGATAGAAATAGGAAGAGTAGATATTCATGTCTTGTCCCATATATTAGTAGAGATGCCTTGAGGTTTTCTCCACTCAGTATATTTGCTATAAGTTCATCATATACAGCCTTTATTATACTGAGATATGCTCCCTTCATCCCTACTCTTTTAACACGAGAGGATGTTAAATTTTGTCACAGGAATTTTAATGCCACTGTCAAGATTATCATGTGATTTCTATCTTTTAGTATGCCTTGTGGGAATTTCTGTTGCTATGTGTCTTAGTTAGGGTTTTCATTGCTGTGAAGAGACACCATGGCCCCGACAACTCTTATAAAGAAACCATTTAATTGGGGTGGCTCCCTTATAGTTTCAGAGATTCAGTCCATTATTATCAGGATGGGGAGCATGACAGTGTGGAGGCAGATGTGGTGCTGAAGCTACATCTTGCAGGCAACAGGAAGTCAACTGAAACCCTGATGGCATCCTGAGCATAGGAAACCTCAAACCCCACACCCACAGTGACACACTTCCTCCAACAAAGCCACACCTCCTGATAGTGCCGCTTCCTGTGAGATTATGGGAGCCAATTACATTAAACTACCACACTGTGATAAAATACCATGATCAGAAGCAGCCTGGGGAGGAAATGGTGTATTCCACTTCCACTTCCACATCATGGCCGCTGCTCATCATTAAAGAAAGTCAGGGAGCTGAAGGCAGGAGCTGATGCAGAGGCAACGGAGAAGTGCTGCTTTCTGGCATGCTCAACCTGCTTTCTTCTAGAACACAAGACCACCAGCCTACGGGTGATAATGCCCATAGTGAGTTGGGTCCTCCCCCAACAATCACTAGTTAAGAAAATGCTCTACAGATCTATATCCCGATCTTATGGATGCATTTTCTCAATTGGGGTGCCCTCCTCTCAGATGACTCTGGCTTGTGTCAGGCTGACAAAAAGTATTAGTCACGATATAGTGTATTAAAAAATAAAGCATTAAGAACAGCAGATTTTAAAATAGGTTATGGAATTGAACATAGATTTCTCAAAAGAGAATGGCTAGTAAAAACTTTAAAATAGTGTTAAACATCCTTAGTCATCCCCAGTCAGGATGGTTATCATGAGGGATACAAATACTGACAAATACTTGCATGGATGCGATGAAGGGGAAACTCTTATACACTGCTGGTGCAGTACAAACTAGTGCCGCTATTTCAAAAATAGGTCTGGAGGTTTCTCAGAAACCTAGAAATAAAATTGTTATATGTCCTATACCTGAGCACACACCCAATGGATGTTACACCCAACAACGGAGACACGCGCATATCTGTGTTCATTGCTGCTTTATTTGCAAGAGCTAGGAAATGGAGTCAAACTAGACGCCCATCAATCAATAAACACATGAGAAAATTTAGTACATACACAAAATGGAATATTACTCAGACATGAAGGAAAATAGTAAATTGAAGTAAAGCTATCTGCTCTGGCAGTGTTACCTGCGGCCTATATTGGGAAACAAAGACTCCTCCAGCTGTCTCAAATCCCAGCCTTAAACCATTTCTGTTAGTGAATACTCAAGTCTACGAGTCTTTCTGCTCTAAACCTGGTGTCCTGAGTACCACAGGTTGCAGCATCTTTCTTTCTAACCCTAGTCCCTTCTCTACATACCTGGAAAGTTCTGGCTTTCCTATTTACATTCTCAGTTCCCAGGGAGCCTAGAACTTATGCCCACGCTGTTACTTCCTGGTGCCTCTTCTTGTGTGAACAGTCACAAATGGAAGGAACTGCGTCTGAATACAGACCACACTGGCACAGCCAGACTTTCCTACGCATTAGCCAACAACAAGAAACAGTGTTTGCCTAGGTTGACTCCAATGCCCAGCGTATCTAGACAGGAATTTGTGTTGCTAATGATTCAGCTAAGGGGGGTCATCCCTAAATCCAGGACCCTGTTGTCTCATTGAGGTTCTTTCTCTTCAGTCCCAAGCCAGATTCATCCAAGACAAGAGAAGGGGTGCAGTGAAAGTCCTGAGTTGTGGAATGGGCGACCGTGTCCCTGGGGATCACTAGAAACTGCAGACAGCACCGAACAGATGTGCACCTGATCGGCCTCACGGAGCCCTCTCCCTCACTATCTAGACCATCTCAAGCACTGATATTTTCTGCCCATTCGATTTTGACAGTCACACAGAGTTGTTTTGTGCCTGCATCTGAGCTCTCCTGGACAAAACAAACAACCAACTGTCAACTTCCCTGAGCATTTTCGGCTCTGCTTTCTAATTTGCAAGCCTCCCTACAAGGAAATTAGTTGATAGGACCCAAGTGTTGTACTGTTTCCCCACTACGATGGCATTTACATACAAATTAATGACCAAGACTATAATTTCCTTGGCTGAGAACTGAGGTGACCTGATAATTAAGTCTCAGCACATGCAGAGAAAGCACAGAACTAGAAAGGTTGCGCTTGTTTTCCTCCCCACCCCCATATTTCCCTGTTACTCTAACAAATGCTTGGGAGCAAACGTGAGTCAATGAATTGCAAATTCTCTAATTAGAAAGATTTTTTCCTGTCAATTTTTTAAATTATTTTTTTTTAGTTAACATACAAAACACTGGGTTTCATTAAGACTTTTCATATGTGCATTCTGATAAATGTACATGTGTGCACATCTGAGCATGCATGGAGGGCAGAGGAGGACATCAGGTGCCCCATGCTATATCACTGTCACCTCAACTGTGACCTATGCTGCTGAAGCACAAGCTCCAGGGATCCTCCTGTGTTCACCTTTCACAGCCTAGCTATTGTGTGGCTGCAGGAATCCAAACGTAGACCCTCGTATGTTTACACAATAAGGGCTCTCACCTACTGAGCCACCTCTCTAGCCCACAAAACTGTGATCTTAGCTCACTATTCTGTAATATCTGACTCTGGTGTCAATCATATGACTAGGAATAAAGTAAATGCTTCAATAGGCAATGAACAGCAAATAGAATACATGTCTTGTAATATCTGCAGAAGGTTAGATCCAGGACTCCGCTTGATTACCAAAATCTATGGGTGCCCATGTCCCCTATACACAACGATATAATGTTTGCATATAAGCTATGCCCACCCTTCCTATAAAACACCTTTGGTTGCTTAGAATCCCAAACACAATAGACAAGTTATGTAAACAGTTAGACTGTACTGCTAAGGAGATAATGATGAGAAATCAGTCTGTGTATGTTCAGTCTACACATTCACCCTAGGCCCAAGCTACAGAGTGCATAAATGAGATTCAAGGCAAATAATACTCACATAATGAGTGCTGGAAAGAGATTGACAGTCTGTGAAACCGTAGGAGGCTGCAGCAGGGAGTGCCTACACATCACTTCAGCAGAGAGGATACAGCACAGGGCTCAGCGTGTGGCAAGCTCAAGTTTGCCCTTCAGAATCTTCCAAAATTTTGTTTAAAATCTTTTCTGTCTACACTTGCATGAGTCCTTCAATGCCATCCACATGGATATGGAGAGCCAAGTACATGGGTCTACACATATTTATTATTAAGAGAAATTAACTTACGCAATTATGGAAGCTGAGAGTGTTCAAGATCTACAATCAACAAGCCACATGGCCAGGAGAGCCAGTGATGCAGATCCCAGTCGGGTCTAAAGACCCCAGAACAAAGAGAGTTCATGGCATAATTTCCAATCTGAGTGAAGAAAATTGAGATCCCAGCTTAAGCAGTGAAGCAGGTGAAGTTCCTCTCTGTCTTTTTGTTGAGGTCAGGTTTCAGCTGATTAGGTGAGCCCGCCTGATATTAGGGAAGACATTCTGAAAACCTGTCTACTTCCTGTCTGCTTAATTCTGGATTTTACTTTAAGAACAAGAGGAATCAAGCTACCCTTCCATGCTTTGCTTAGACATATTTAAACCACAAAGAAAGCTTCAAAAATATAGTGAGACCACATTCTAATTTCAATATCATTAGGTTAAAAAACTAAAGATTGAAAAAAAAACACTTTGGGAGACCAAAAGCCACTCTTTATAATAGTTGATGGGTCAAAGAAACATTAATTAGAATTCTAAAATACTTACAACTGAAAAATAATGATCTATCCCATATCCTACACTTATGGCATACGAAGTGGTACTTAAAAGAGAGTCACGGATTAATTTGGTGTAGCTATTAGAAAATAAGATGAAGACTGAAAAATCAACATGACAAATGGTCTAACCAGGATGTTACCAACTAATCGTCTAACCCAAAGCAAAACACCAAGAGATGGAAGCCATACAAGCAAGGATGAGGGTGGAGAGCTTATTGCCATGCAGGCATGCGGGTCTGAGTTTGGATCCCCAGTCACCAGGAAAAGCCAGAGAGTGGAACGGTAAACCCAGAGCCAGGCAAACACTTAAAGCTCATTGGCCAGCCCGTCAAGCTGAGCGGCTGAACTTCAGGTTCAGCAAGAAGCTCTGTCCCAAAAACTACAGTAGAGAGGAACAGAGGAAGACAACATCTACCGAGGCTCTTCCCACACATACAAGCAAAGGTGGATAAAAGCATCAACGGAAAAAAAAACATAAATAGTAAAGAAGCTGAAAATACTGTGCCAACTAAAGAAGACTCATTGACAAGATTGCAATAACAACACTTAAAAGCCATGAGAAATAATAACTTTAGATAAAGTGTAAAGAAAACTGAAAACTTAAGTAGTAGTAACCATTAAATAGGGCTGGAGAGATGGATCAACAGTTAAGAGCATTGGCTGCTCTTCCAGAGGTCCTGAGTTCAACTGTAACCATCTGTAATGAGATCCTGTGCCCTATTCTGGCCTGCAGGCATACATTCAGACAGACCACTGTATACATAAGAAAGAAAGAAAGAAAGAAAGAAAGAAAGAAAGAAAGAAAGAAAGGAAGGAAGGAAGGAAGGAAGGAAGGAAGGAAGGAAGGAAGGAATATTTAAAAAATAAATAACCATTAAGTATGAAAAATCCAAAATATCCTTATTACATCCCAATAGCCTTACTTAAATTGTCTTAATCTCACAGAATAGGGAACTTCTTTTTAATATAGCCATCCTAGAAAGGAACACTTCCACATTGTTATATGAGAACAGTGTTATGAAAACAGTGTTAACTCAAGAAAGGTAATTTATAAAAATCAATTTCACTTATGCCTTTAGTTCCAAATATTCTCGATCAAATGGCAGCAAATAGTATATTAAAAATAAGAACAAATACATCAAAAAATAGTGTAGCCAGGAATAGTAAAGCCCAACTATCATCTTAGAAAGAGTAATACAAAGAATCACACCTTCAAGGCAACCTGGGATACACAACAAGACTCCGTCTCCGATAACAACAAAAACAACAGCAGCCGCAGTTTATGGCAGGCCAGCAGAGAAGTCTGAATATTGGGGAAATCTTATCAATGTAATCATTCTCATTAATAAAAACAGAAATGTATAATCAGCTCAATAGAAATGTAAAATCACTTGGAAATTTTTCAGTATGTATTCTGGATGGGAATAAACAAATAAATAAATGAAAAATTCTTAGCAAATAAGACAACATTCTCAACATGAAATAGAACAGAATTACATGTACCAGTAGAATTTTAGATTCCTTATAAACAAAGAACAGAGCTACTTGATATCCTCTTCTTATCTCTTCCCTTTGAACTGTGCTAGAGACCTTCTAATGGCAATGAGATGGGAAAAGTAAACTAAGTACATGAACTGGAAAACAAGAAATGAAAATTTAAGAATAAAATGTTGGATGAAAAACCCAAAAGAAACCAGTTAATCACTACAACTGTTGACTTCATCCATGTGTCTTCAGCCTGGAAAAGAATGGAAAACTAAATACTAAATTTGACCTTCCAAATGTGACACATGCAAACACTTAGGCATAAACAGCAGTTCTCAGGACATTGAACATGGATAATGCCACCACCGAGGAACTTCCCAGATGTGGGAAATAAGTATGTTCTGTAAGTACACAAGCTGACCACCCAGAATGCTCAGAAACTAGGACCCACGTCAAAGTAGGATGTCTTTGAGCAAATGAGGCTGAGTCTCCAGGGTGGGAAAATAGAGAGATGAACGATTCGAATGAAACCTACGAAAATGAATACCACTGGAGTCAGTAGGGAAAAAATGTAGAGTAGACGTGCTAATAGACTAGGATGATGCATAAAAAGACTAGGAAGCATGAAAACATACTAAAATAAAACTATTTAAAATGGTACCCAGAGAAATGATCATTTTAGAAGAACACAAAGAAGGCATCAGTAAGCAATCAGGTGTCAGCCAGTAAAATACACCTGGGAGTGGACAAGCCAAGTATCTGAAAAAACACTCATCTTCGTTTATTTTCTGTATTTGATAAAAATCATAAACTCACTAATTGAAGAAGCTTAACATGATCCAAAACCAAGAAAAACCATGAAAACTATACCAAAGCATGTCAAATTCATTAAAATACAAACCATAAGGAATGCAAAAAAAAATTAACCAAAAAAATGGTCCAACTACAAACAGACAAATGATTTGAATAGGTAATTCTCAGAAGAAGAGATACAAATGGCCAATAAATAAATAGGAAATACTCTGTACAGTTGTCACCCAAATGCCATGAGTTTTCAAGAAAAAACACAACTAAAAACTACAATAACGTAGTACCTCGCCCCAGTGAGGATGGCTGTAAGACAAACTTCTGGATGAGGTTGTGGGAGAAAATAAAACAAACTCTCAGGATGTAGACTGCTGTGGAAAACAGTGGCAGCTCATACATATCATACAATACTTAAAGCATGTCTATCACATAATCCAGCTGACCCATTTCTGTATATACATTCAAGAAAAAATGTATGTGTGGAGGGGATTCTATAAAAATTATGCAATTGTATTCTATTGCTTGCAGTAGAATACAAAGGACTGGAAAGCATTGTCTTAAGTAAAACAAGTCAGACACAGCAGGACAAATATCTTATGTTATCACCCATATGTGGAAGTTTGCAAAGCACAGAACTGAATATAGAATATAGATGGCCAGGAGTAGGGAAAGGGAGCTGGATTCGCTCAGTGTGCCCTGTGTGCACATACTTAATGTTATAAATATGTACAACTAAGACATTTCAATTAAAAAATTAAAACCAGTTAAATGTAGCTAGAAACGCACAACACAAAGAATTAGAACTACTGTAAACTATGGGGTCAAACTCACAACAGTATATCAACACTTGTTCACCAAGTGTAAAGAAGGTACTCCGGAGATCCAGTGTGTCGCTAGTAGGAAATGGGTAAGGGCAGATGACAGAAAATGTGAAAATTCTTAATCTTCTCTATTCATTATCTCCATAAACACCAGATACTTTAAGGGAAAACCCCTTGACAAGGACTACTGATGTGGCATGTCCTTCTGTATATGTGTTACTTTTATTGGTCCATGAATAATGCTGTTTTGGCCAATAGCTTAGCAGAGTAAATGGGAAATCCAAACAGATATTGAGACAGTAGGCGAAGTCAATGAGATG